CATGGGCAGTTTTAGTAAGACTTTGTACTGCATCAAAGGAGATGACAGCACTTTATAAATCGTTAACGTTATTCCATCCAGCCAATGCGTTTATTCCTCCGCATGATGTCTTTCCAGAGCAGAGTGTAATCCGCACATCAGCTGTAACACATGTTCATTAAGTTAATAAGAGAAGGGTATTCATTATTAATCCCTTTTGAAAACAGACTATACAGTGAGCAGGATGGCAGGCTGAATATTTACACAATATTATACAGCCAAATCTTTTTGTTTATAATTGACCAAACTCATCATCATTCCAGTCAGGTTCACTGGAAAGTTCTGATCAGAGTGACCCAAGTTTTGCCTCTTCTATTCCTAATTTTAAAGTGATATTAAAAGGCAAAAAGATTTTCCCTCCCCCCCATGTAAATGTTAGCACTTACCTTAAATGATGTCTCTTATTCTGGTTTTCTCTTCTTTCCCCATGTTTTCATGTGCCCATCCAGCAGTGCGACGTCACTCCGATCCAGCGCTGACTGCTCTGTCCCTCCGATCCAGCGGTGTCTGCATCCGGGTGCACGCGTCCATAGACCTACCTTGCGTCTCTGCTCGTCTCCCGGCCGAGAATCGGCCGGAACCGCCCCAAGATCCTTTGCGGCCGTACGAGCAGTTCCTGATTCTTGCCGCGGGAGCGAGCAGCGATAACGAGGTAAATTTAAAATGATTTCAAGCAGTTTTTGTTGTTGTTTTTTTTACACTTCTTGCCTATATCTACTGCTTGCTAGCAGTAGATATAAGCAAAAAAAACCGGAGGGTTTAGAACCCCTTTAAGAGAGGAAATAGGGCGGAGAAGCTGATTGATGATATATATGTTATTTAAAGAGGACTAGTCATTAACACTCAAATGTACGGCACATTAATATGTAAAGAGACAATACACCACTATAGCTGACCATAGATGGACAGACCACTGGCATGCAATGGGCAGGTGAGAGATCTGCCCATCCTCACTCATGTTTCCAGGCTGCCGAAATGTTCACCCCGATTCAATGCATTCCCTTCTCTCCTTAGAAAAGTGAGCGATCGGTATGAAAGTGCACAAAAGATTTTCCAACATATCAAAATACTTAATGCGTGATAACAAGTACTTTCTGTGCCCAGCAACACTAAATTATCACCATCCAGTGAACCTGTACAAGGTTCAATCAATGCCTGTAGTGCTTGCTTTTCCAAGCCTCTTTGGGTAGAAAATCTCTCACCGAAGGGTACTTTTGCTCAAAGAGAAGCGTTTCTCTAAAAAAAAAAAAAAATCACAATGGATCAGGGTTTGGGCTGCTGTTTGGAGGTTTACAATAATGTGATAAATGAATAATGTGCCTTGCCACTCGTCCTGTATAATACAAGATCATAGTGGATGTAAAAGTAAATTGCTGCGTCCCGTATTAATTCAACTCTGATGTGAAGGGGGAAACTCTGATGTGAAGGGGGAAACTCTGATGTGAAGGGGGAAACTCTGATGTGAAGGGGGAAACTCTGATGTGAAGGGGGAAACTCTGATGTGAAGGGGGAAACTCTGATGTGAAGGGGGAAACTCTGATGTGAAGGGGGAAACTCTGATGTGAAGGGGGAAACTCTGATGTGAAGGGGGAAACTCTGATGTGAAGGGGGAAACTCTGATGTGAAGGGGGAAACTCTGATGTGAAGGGGGAAACTCTGATGTGAAGGGGGAAACTCTGATGTGAAGGGGGAAACTCTGATGTGAAGGGGGAAACTCTGATGTGAAGGGGGAAACTCTGATGTGAAGGGGGAAACTCTGATGTGAAGGGGGAAACTCTGATGTGAAGGGGGAAACTCTGATGTGAAGGGGGAAACTCTGATGTGAAGGGGGAAACTCTGATGTGAAGGGGGAAACTCTGATGTGAAGGGGGAAACTCTGATGTGAAGGGGGAAACTCTGATGTGAAGGGGGAAACTCTGATGTGAAGGGGGAAACTCTGATGTGAAGGGGGGGACTCTGATAACAAGTGGAACTCCCTCTGCCAAGGAGAGGGTAACATCATCCAGAGAAGATGTCAGTGTCCTTTAGCCCAATAAATAGAGTTTGGCTAATAGCCCCAACCCCTACACCTTTATTTTACCACAACAAAGGTGGCAACCCTAGTTATATAAAATTGTATAACTATTAAAGTTTTTTAAGGACAATATTGTCCTCTTTTAATATGTGTGGTATGGAAGGAAGTGGACATTCAGGATAGGTAGAGGGATGAGATTTTTTATATCCTGTTACAATATCTAATCATGTATGGCCAAATTCAGCAGTAGAACTGTGTCTGCTGACAAGACTAAATTCAAAGTAAGTGCTACAATAAACCCCCTCTCATTTAACCCCTTTGAAGTCATGAAACTAAACAAGCCGCTGTATTAGCAGGCAGTGATTCGCAGTGAGTCCTATTATATTACAAGTTTATCATTTAAACCTTCCAACAATTGGCAGCACTGAGATAACAATTTCTTAGGAAATGTCTTACAGGTGCTTTCACTGATTCATTGTAATTATCTTGAAAGCTCCAATCAATTTTATTTTAGAGGCCCCGGCTTTAACAAGTCTACACCAAAGCTATAAAAATCTTATTACGGTAATCTGTAAATGAGGGTGACAGAAGGTAAAGTAAGAGTTCTGGCTTTGCAGGTGAATACCAAATAATTCATATCCAATATGTTCTCTAATTCTCGGACTTGCTTCCTAGTTGCTTCACAAATTACAGAAATGGCTTTATTACAAACAACATAAGCGCTTTCTAGTTATGATTATGGCCTTGCTAGCAGTGAAAATACCTCAATATAACTTGCTATCAGCTACCTGAAAACCTTGTACAGCAGATCTCAGACTGTGGGAGGTAGAAGCAGTATACATAGGCAAATCTGGGGTGCTGAAGTGCAAGGAGCATGTTTACAGGAGGAGAAAGTAGAGTGACAGATAAATTATCTTATCATGTCTGCTACATCATCTTTTATTGTCCAGTCACAGTGTGGGTGTAAGGAGACCTGTAACTGTAACCAAACTGTAGCAGAGAAAAATCAGGTCCCCTCCCTTGGCAGACAGGTTTGTGTGGTGTGTAACAAGTACAAGTGAGGGGCTGGATTAAAATAACCAGAAGACCGGACAGAATGTGATGAGGCACAATAGCTCTGGTGAGGCTGCTCTCAACAAAAACAGGGACTCCTACATACAAGGGAATTCAGGGTTGAAGATATACACACATATACAGTCCAATTAGAGCACCAAACAAGAGTGACACTATGAATACTTGAATGAATGGGAGAGCTCAAACAGAGCTTGCAAAACATAGAGGCATTTCCATGAGAATATGAAGAGGAAAGCTAACAAAAAAATGTATGTTTCTGTTTTCATATAGATCAACTGCATGTTCCTGCTTCATGTACTGTACACGGCATATGCTCATTGCTGGCATATGTTATTTTTTAAATACCTAATGGCAAAGGTGGAACTGGGCTTTAAAAATTAAGGGTAGTATTATGGACTCAAAACTAGCGTAAAGCAACAGGGATTCATTATTTGATGTGTAGGGTACAGCCAAAACCAGTAAATCAGCAAAAATCTTTTTGCTGTTTTGGAGTTCAGCTTTAAATCAATTTCTACCCAAACTATCCCTTGTGTGTAGAGATATGATATCACTGTTCTGTGTACTCTCCAAAGTATTGAACAATTGGTATTTGGCTATATTAACAAAAGAAAAACAAGTGATGCAACATAATATATGTAAGTTAATTTTTTTCGTGTAAATGTAATATAATGTACTATGGCCCAAATTTTTGCCATAGTTCACTTTAGGGTCACTAATGTCCTCATGTGACCCAAAACTCAACATTGCCCGCTATATGCGGACAACACAGATCCGCGCTGCAGCCAAGACAGATCCCGACAATATTGTCGGGATCCACCCCGCTGCCTGATTGACAGCTGGCTCTGCCTCTCTAGAGCCAGAGCCAGCTGTGCCCACCCCCTCCCCTGTCTGTCCCTCCAATCAATGCTGGAGGAACGGACAGGGGAATCCCTGCAGGTCACCGCTCTCTGCTGGGAGAAGATTGTGAATGGAGCGGTATGTGATTGCCCAGTTCCCAATCAATAGAGCTGATGGAGCAGTGTCACACATCAATTCCAATACATATTTCTTTATTTAAAAAAATGACTCACCTTTCCGCTCGGGTCCTAAAAGGAAGATGGCTAAACGCACCACGAAGGTTGGCATTGTTGGTAAATATGGGACCCGTTATGGGGCTTCCCTAATGAAGATGGTCAAGAAAATTAAAATCAGCCAACACGCAAAGTACACATGCTCCTTCTGTGGCAAGACCAAAATGAAGAGGAAGGGTGTTGGAATTTGGCACTGTGGTTCCTGCATGGAAATTGTAGCTGGAGGAGACTAGACCTACAACACTACCTCTGCTGTCATTATGAAATCCGCCATCACAAGACTGAAGGAATTGAAAGAGCAAAAGTTCAACCATCCTTCTAAAATTCTGCACCTTGTCTGTTTTTCCAGACTGGTCTTCTATAAAGAATGTCTTGTAAAATGAAAAAGAAAAAAAAATCACAGTACCAGCACTGGATATTTCAGATTTTGGTGAACTCCAGACTGGGGATTCACCTACTTATATCTTCCATGGACTGCAGTGGCAAAGCCTGAGGCTTATTACACCATTGTTGCTATCTCCACTCTCAGGCCTATCCAATAAAGCTGTGTTAATAAGAGTGTTTATGTGCAATGTATAACAACACAGAGTGTAACTAATTAGTCACATCAAGTCACTTAGTGTTGAATTTATATTGGCTGTTGTGGGTTACTACACTTGATCTGGTACCTCGAATGATTCTGTGTATAGGCAGGTATAATTTCAACATGTACAAAATAAAGAGCATTGCTTAGCTGCCACAACTGATCAGCAACATTAAGCATGCATCTATGGTGACAGTAATAATATAACAGTCTTCTTTACCTATATGTGATATGCTTATGATGCCACTTCTGCCCGGTTAAGGCATAACGTTTTCGGCGAACACTAAACCTGGAGCTAGCTCTCGTTGTGTCAGGTACGCCACATCGTGGTTTCTTCATCCAGCTAAAATAAACAGAAGAAAACAATCAAGTTACATGGGCAAGTTTAAAGAGAAACCCCAAGCAGCCTTTTGGTGAATAGAGTGGTGAAGGGTAAGGACAGATAGCTGGTTTTTACTTTTGTCTGTGTCTCCTTGGAGGAGATTTGCCCTCATTTCCTGTCCCAGGAATGTTGTCTTGCTAGCAATGAAAGTCTGATAAGAGGCTATAAACCTTCCCCACTCCATCAAAAGCAAATAATAGGTTTAGCTGGGGTTCCGCTCTACATAGAACAATTTACATTACTGAATACAGGTGGAACAGAGCCTGCGTCTCCAAGCATAGTGCAACCAAAAGTAAATTCCGCTCTGTATTTATTGTATATGCTTTAGGGAAGTAATGTATCAGGGTGTGCTGTTGAACTAAGCTTAGGTAACCATATAAATGTAATATCCTTTTTCAGTGCAGTATAACTGTGTCCTTCATAAAAAAGAAGCGCTCATAAAGTATAAACTCCAAATAAGTTCGAATAAGGGTCAGTCATTGTACGGTAATGCTTCAATTTGTGCTAGATACTGGTGAGATGTATTACTCACTCAAATATTTTATCCCTCAGGGTCATCTGGGGTGTTACATGTCTTGGCGCATTCTGGATAGGTTTATTATGCCTTGGAACCTTACCAGTAGGGAGCTTTCTGGCTAGGTTTACTATGCCATGGAACCTTACCAGTAGTGATCTTTCTGGCCAGGATTACTTATCCTTGTAACCTTACCAGTAGGTTGCTTTCTGGATAGGTTTACTATGCCTTGGAACCGTACTAATAGGGTGTTTTCTGGTTAGGTTTACTATGCCTTGTAACCTTACCAGTAGGGTGCTTTCTAGCTAGGTTTATTATGCCTCGTAACCATACAAGAAGTGTGAAGTCTCACTCTCTGCTCTAGCCTCTAAAATAAAAAATAGCTAACTAGACTAACTGGGTTAGTGACCCTTAGGGGGCTTGTCGAGCCCTCACTGCTGACCACAAACAGCAGTTTTCAGACAATCTCAACCACTTTCAACAAGCTTTTGATTGCAAAAATGGTCAAACATATATGTGTAACCTACTAACTAACATCTATTGTCAAGAACCTGAATCCACACATCTACTATGGCCATTATGAAGGGCTCCCACTTCTCCAGCTTGATAATTTTTTTGTTTTATATTAAGAAGCATGCAACAGGAGGAACTGGCACAAGCAAAGGTAAGTGGGAACACTCAAAACTCCCAGGTGGACAAGAAGAGAGTTGGGTGTTATGGTAGTGAGATCTGGTTTTTGGAGCGTCCCAGACATATAAGAAGCCAGTAGCTGAGTTAAATCACCAGGATCATTCCAATGATTATAATATCACATTTGGATTGATTGACTCTGTAAGGCTGAAGGTGGGAAGGATACGTTTACACCTCTGCATTTTGTTTGTGTTTTTAGATCCATCTCAATCGTGTTATTTATGCATTGTTACTGGAATGCACCAAATATGCAGCAGGCTGGAATTATTTAATGTACAGCACAAAAACTCAGATATGTAAACATAATGTAATGTAACGCAATTGTGGAAAGTAAAGGAACAATTTGAAAAATGTTTTATGAAAATAAATAGCGGTTTATCAATTCAGCCCATGGATTTAAAATGGCCTAACTCTTCCAGCTAAACAAAATCATTCAAAAACCTTTTCTATGCCAACAAACAATGGGCTACCTTATACCTAGTTGTATATGTGCTTGTATCCAATGCCTCAGCCCCATCTAAGCACAGCCACAACCTTCTGCTTATAGGGCTCACTTTACCCTACTCAGAGTGCTCCCATAGTATAAACTTTTCCTTGGCCAAGCGCATTTGACAGCATCTGAAAATGATTTGCTCCTCCTTTGATGCTTTCAACTGCACTGGGCAAACTGGCAAATGCAACTGAACACCTCAGGAGCAGGGCATGTAGATCAGCGTTTTTTAACCATGGCAGCTTGGGGTGTCTTCAGAATTCCTCAAAGGTGCCTTAAAATTTTCATACAGCATCACACCCTCCCATGTTGCAGGCAGGCCAGCTGCCAGAACCATGGAAGTGAATTACATTAATCCAGGGAGGGTGGGATCCATTCAGAAAACAACAGAAGTTTGTTTCTATCCAGGCCTGCTCCGCCACCTGTCCTCTAACACACTGCTGCAGGTGTGGCTCCTGATGTGAAGAGGGGGTTCTAAAATGAAAGGGGGGCTCCGATATAAAGGAGTAACTCTGGCTTGTAGGTGGGGGGCTCTGATGTACGGGGGGACCCTTAGTGTAAGAGGGGGACCCTGATGTACAAGGAGGGGGCTCTTGATGTGAAGGGGCTCCTAATGCAAAGGGGGCTCCTGATGTGAAGAGGTCCCCCCTAAAGTGCATTACATTTTAGACTGGGGTTCCTCAAAATTTTCCATACTTTTCCATGACTGAAAAAAAGAGAAACGCTGGCCTAGAAATCAATGAGCCCAGAAAGCAGTCAGTTGGAGGGTCATTATGTCTGTCGTTTTGGCTGCACTTAGCCTAGATGGATTACGTTAGTGTTTACAGGCCTGTGAACACCTAGGATTTAAGCACTACTTTAGTTATACAATCCTTATTTAAAATGATAGTAGTGCCTTTGGTAATAAGTACATTTTTAAGAGCACCCATATTACTGGAAAAAATTACATGACAGGGTGGTGGTGGGCGGTGGCAATGTCATTCCCAAAAACCATTTAGGGAAAAACAGAATTTTCTCTACAAGCTTATGGTTGTAAAATATGGAAACACATTTAGCATAACTATTGAAATATCATGTAACAGGAGTGCTTACCTCATTGTGATTTCACTACATCAGACATGGAAGCAGGAGGAGAAAACACAAACACACACATAATACTATTATATTTCATTAGCAGCATTACCATCTTCTAACAAGAAACAAGAATATTTCAGATATGAAAATCACTACAGTCACTTGAACTGAACTCTAGGCATATATAATAGGCACACATTGCTCTGTAATCATTAATACATCTTTAAATATATTTTTCACATTTAAACAGTATAAGTACCCGGACCTGATCTGGTATCAGCCTCATTACAGCAGGGCTGGAGTGTAAGTGGAAAAAGCAGCACATGCAGGCAATCAGTTAATGTGCTGACAGGAAACATGGTGATAGGAGGAGTGACAGAGATATGAGCTCATCACTGTGCTGCTTCTCTTTTCCCTATCCAGTCACAGGCTGGGGTGGGTCCAGGATGGCCTGACCTTGGAGGAAGTGGGTTGAATGATGCTGGCATTCAGACTGAGGACATTAACAGAAAAAAAGTACTAAGCGGAAAATTAAAGATGAAGAATGCAGTAAAGCTGGTTTTATTGTAATTTTATATTTTTTTAACCACCTCCGGGCCGGCCGTAGTAAAAAAACGGCCGGCCCGAGCTCTCTAGATCTGAGCGAGCATCTTTAAGTTATTATCATCAGGTTAGTATAAAATAAAAGTGCATCTTTTTGATTTGCCCCATTGAAGAATTTTTCCTTCACTTCCTGTTTTGAGAACACAACAGGAAGATAGAAGAAAGCTGAGGCAAACAGCACTCACATACTGAAACCAGCTTCCCAGCGTGATTGTATGCCAGGTGCAGGCAAAAAGCATGCCATCGCTTGTAGTAACACAAATCAAAGGATGCCGCACTACATGGATCTTCACTGAAGTTAAAATCTGTATTTACAAGGCAGATAGACACTGTCTATACCTCTACCCATAACCCCCGCCAATGAGGTGTTTCATCATATGGGCTTAAGCCGTTGTAAGCCGACATGATGAAACATGAACCTGTCACATGGTTCCGGGTCACAGTGGTGTACAGCTAACATACTCTGAAGAAACTGCTTTCACCTTTTAACTGTTGCTGCCATTGGCAAGTAGTCAGCAGTGAAATATGAGTGGGTTGGGAGCCCTTTTATTCAGTTTCTGAGCCTTTTGCAGAAAGCTGTTAGATGCTTAGAGGCAGAGGTTTCAGCACTGCAGAGAATAAAGTATGCCATTGCAGACACCATCTGATCACCCTCAAGCATTTATACCACCTGGTTCCTAAACATGAATGTTTGCATTGCGAGCTATGGAGAGGGGTGAGAGAGTGCTCTTCAGACACCTACAATCCCATCTAATTAGGGGAAAACAAGAGAAATCAGACAAGTTGTTGCAACATGTGAGATCACTCACCCTCTGACAATCATCGCTCAGTTGTGAACAGGCATTTAATCTCATCTCATTGTTTATGGACACATGGCTAAATACACCTTACAACCATCACACGACTTTCGTATGATCTGCCCATCTTGGACAGGCAGATCGTACTTGCGATCATCGCAAGCATTCCCCCGCTGAGGGGAGGGCTTCTGATGTTTGCAGTGCTGAGCGGGCAGTGTGCACTTGCGCACACCGGCCTGTGCGGCATTGGTCTCCCGACCACGCCACCAACCCGCCGAAGATCATACGATTTTCGGCAGGTTATCGGTAGCGTGCTCAGAAGACGAATGTCATGCGACCTTACAGTAGAAGAGGTTGCACGCTGCCCATACACCGGCCCATTATCGTACGATCACGGGATCACCCGCGATTATCGCACGATAAAGGACAGGTGAATGGGCACCTTAAGGAATGTTCCCAGAGATTTGATAACATTAGGTTATCATAGGTTGATACTAGCAACAAATATCATACTCATTATAATAATAAATTGAACTTGTCTCTCTAAAATGGTAATCATCCCTGTAATTGCTTTAGTTTTAGACCACAGTCACATCTAGGCATTTTTTAGCTTGAATATCAAAGCTACAAAAAGCTCAACACTAGGAATCCCATTGTTTCCTATGGTCCTTGTTCACAGCTTAGCGTTCTATCACTTGTAGCGAAATGTCCGTAGCTTGAAAAAGTACATGAGCTTCTTTTCATGCAGATTTGAGCATTTTTGTCCGCATAGACTATGGAAAGCCTTCAACCGGATGTCACAAGTCTTTTAAAAAAACGTTAAGGAAGTTTTTCACACGTTTTTGCATGATGTCACAGATGCTACTGCTTCTCATTAGGGCAAACAGAAAAACGCCTGCAAAATGCTCACAAAATACTTCAAAAACGCTGTGTAACCTCAATAACTTTTTTTTTAAAAGCCTGAAAATTCCAACTCCTGGGTGTGAACACGGCCTTTCTTGTAATTATGCTAAAATTAGGAAGTCCACCTAACATAACTTTTTCTGAACTTCATTTTGGATAGAATAGGGAAGGTTTAGAACCCTTGTCAGGTATTGGATACAGTAGGGAAGGTTTAGGACTAGAGGTGCACCGAAATAAAAATTTCAAAACCGAAATGAAAAAAAAAAAGTCAGGCCGAAAACGAAAATGTTTTTTACATAATTGAGGGTATAGCAACCATACTCTGTCCTCAATTATCTACAAACACTCAGCGATCACTGATTGCTGAGTGTTTGTACCCGCTCTCCTTCCTGACAGCTGTTACAGGAGGCTGAGCGAGCGGAGCCTCCTTTGACAGCACTGCAAGCGGTCTCCACCCACACTGTACGGGGAGGATAAACGCCAGCCGCTCACAGCACTCTCCTCTCGCAGCGCTCGGCCGCCTGTGGTAGTGTCTCTCTTCCTCACTGGGACACAGAGCAGCGGTGAGGAGAGAAAGAACGGATGCACCGCTGTATCGGCCAGAAAATGGCCGATATGTTTCGACGGCCGATATATCGGTGCATCCCTATTTAGAACCCTTGTCAGGTTTTGGATACAGTAGGATTAAGAACCCATGTCAGGTTTTGGATAGAGTATGGAAGGTTTAGAACCCTTGTCAGGTTTTGGATAGTGTAGGGAAGGTTTAGAAACCTTGTCAGGTTTTGGATAGAGTAAGGAAGGTTTAGAACCCTTGTCAGGTTTTGGATAGAGTATGGAAGGTTTAGAACCCTTGGCAGGTTTTGGATAAAGTATGGAAGGTTTAGAACCCTTCTCAGGTTTTGGATAGAGTAGGAAGGTTTAGAACCATTCTCAGGTTTTGGATAGTCTAGGGAAGATTTAGAACCCTTGTCAGGTTTTGGATAGTGTAGGGAAGGTTTAGAACCCTTGTCAGGTTTTGGATAGTCTAGGGAAGATTTAGAACCCTTGGCAGGTTTTGGATAGTGTAGGGAAGGTTTAGAACCCTTGTCCGGTTTTGGATAGAGTAGGGAAGGTTTAGAACCCTTGGCAGGTTTTGGATAGTGTAGGGAAGGTTTAGAACCCTTCTCGGGTTTTGGATAGAGTAGGGAAGGTTTAGAACCTTTGTCAGGTTTTGGCAGCCTTGGCAGGTGTACCTGCTGAGGTGATTTCCCCTCATTTACTGTACCAGGGACAGTGTTCCCATTAGGTATCCACTAGCATTGTAAGACTGGTGAAAGTTCTGCAGGGGAGACCGAGAGTAATAAAAACAAACAAGTTCTAAAGCTTGCCATACACCAGTAGAACTTTGTTAAAAAAAAGTTTTGGGAAATGTTTCTTTTGTTCAATTTTCGAAGGATTAATGGGGTCCACGTGATTTTTATTTTTGACTGTAATTACAAAGAGAATAGTTTCTTATCTGAACGAACAAAATTGTGTGAATGAAAGAGTTTTGTTCTGGAAAAATGGTACATATTGTACTGCGCATGTACAAAAAAAACCCCATTTAATACGTCTGGGATTCCATTAGAGTAGCCAGTGTTGAAGACATTTTTAAGGGCTTTCACATGAAATTTGTTGAGCTAATAATGGCATTACTGAATGCTCTCACTAATTTCTAAATTTGAGCGAATGTTCAAACGAACGTCTAAGTGTGTGGCCAGCTTAACCCTTCCCTGCTGTAACCAAATTTTAAAAATAGTTTGGGCTGGAGATCAAAATTAATATGTTCTCTTTATAATTGATTGCAGCCACATCCAATAAACCTCTCACAATGAATTTGGGTAACACCGCAGTCTCTGGCCACATCATTCTAATATGAAACTCCCAATCTGAGAACAAAGCTAGCAATAGACATCTGAGGAAGATCATATGTGAAAGCTCAATCCAACTGTGTGTTCTGGCTCGGCTTCAGCCATAAACAAAATCTCAGGTTGCATGAGCATTCCTAGGTAAAGGTATTCATATGAGGGAGTATGGCTGACATATTACAGACAATCCCGAGACCGGCTTGTATCAGGAATATTAAAAGGCAAAGTTTTCAAGCCTGTTTAATTGCTTTTAATCAAAGATCTGATGGGTTGAATTATTTTCTGATTTCATGTCCATGAAACAGAAATGAAGTTTGTATATATCAAGTCTACAATTCACCCATGTGAGGTTATTATCATTTTGATTAATGTATATTCTAAAGTATATATTATAATCTTTGTTGCACTACATAAAACATTTCCAATCCCAAGCACATATTAGCTGTAATGAAAACATACAGCATGCAGAAGATACAATTGCAGGGGGAGACCAGTCCATTCAAGATTACACTAAAGCTGACCTTGGTCAAATGTCCCCTTTTACCATTTATTAAGAGTGCCCTGGTGCTAAGCTGAAGTGCCTTGGGAGTGTGAAGTCACCAAGCATTTAAAAATATTATATAATGGAAATAAGTCAATATTCTTCATTCAGCCTCTGACAGATTAATGTCTACGGGCCATGGGAGTATTGAAGCTCTTAGCGCATGAGTGCAGAGCTGCCCCTTCAAGCCCTGTAGGACATGAGCCATGCAAGACATAATGAGAATACAAAGCAACCCTCCATATTATCTAATGCAGCCTGATTGCTGGATTTCTGTGGACATACCTACACAATCTTTTATACATCTATAATTCTTTGTGCAATAGTTTCCTATCAAATTTTATATTACTAAATATTACTACATTAGTAAGAGAGAATGTTATCAAAGAAAAGAGATCTTAAACATTCAGCAGTCAACTAACGAGATAAATTTACTTATATTCATAGAGGGTGTTTCTATCCGCATTAGCCCTGCAGGGTACCCTGCAGATTAGTATTGCTTCTGATCTGAAGGAGAGGTTAACTCTCGAAAGCTTGTCTTTCAAATATTATGTTAGTCCAATAAGAAAGGTATCATTGCATACTGCAATACTCCGTTTTTGTTTTTCTACATTGTGCACATATATACTGTATATATGTCTGTTGGTCCCAGTTCTGCGAACATATATGCTGTATATATGTCTGTTGGTCCCAGTTCTGCGAACAATGGGCTTCTTTCAGGCTTTACAACAAAAAAGCAAAAACGTAGAGTTTGGAAAATGTGAAAAGGGGACAATAATACCACCTGTTGGCTCCAAACAAAAAACATTATTACACAAAACTTCATATATACCTGACTAAAAATAGGGGAACAAGTGATTGCACTGACTTAAAGTTAAAATGCCCTTTAATTTGCTTGCCAAGTTTCTAATGCCTTGTTTATATTCATAGAAAAAATTATTTAGTTTATATTCATCCAAAACAAATGATTTAGAACAAAGTGACAGATTTTATGACGCCTTTAAATTTTCAGTCTTTGAATGCTTTATTCCAGTCATTGTTGTAAATAATTAAAAAAGTTAAGCTACTTAATTGGTGATTTAAATTCCTTGTGGATTTTGTTTGGTTTACTGAAGAATTGAATGACAATTATCTGCTATCGCCCAAATGACGCAGTTTCATGTGTACAATCTTTCTTCTTTTTTTAGCATGGTTTGGTGCTTTTCACTGAACAGATTTTATGGCTTGCTCCTCTCTGGCTTCCTAGCAGACTGTGAATTTATTCTGAAGCATCTGTTAGTTCAGTGGAAAAAATATATATTTTTTAAGAAGTTAAAAGATTTTGAATTATTATTAATATCACTATTATTATTGTTTAATTACACTTTACAAAATCTGTCACAAATTCCAAGGGAAGCCTATTCTTATAAGGAGACAGGAATCTTAACCCTTTTATAATCCACGGTCATTGATGCATGGATGGCCACACAGTTAGCAGCGTCAAACTGCGTATGTGTTGCTTATTTTGACATTAGCACTTCTTTATTACCTTGTTACCCTACCATAGACACAAAACATGTGAAGCCTTACAATTGCGAGTGCCCGCAAAAAACTACCACACTGAAAATTGTCCATAGGCGACGCTTAAAACGCTTTTACCGCTCATCAGTGTTATCAGTAATTAATGGCCCTAAAATTATTGCTCACACTCCGACGTTTGTGCCGCACATGTATCATGTGCGGCGCAATAGGCGCAATCGTTGTTTTCGCACGTAGGCGCACCCGACTCATATCTGCATATCCAAGATCCCTAATGTCACCTAGGGACCCCCAGAGTAGCTGATGAAGCAGAGATCTGCTTCATCAGCTTCTGTAGCTGTAGTGACACTGAATGCAGGAAGTGATGCAATATACATCACTTCCTTCATTCCGGGACTGGAGAGTAGATCAAAAGGGAGATCATGTACCGATCTCCCTTTGATCTCTTGTCACAGAGACGGCCGAATTGGGCACAGCAGATTTCGGGACCGGCAACGGCAGTGACAGCTGCTGGTAATACAAGTGATCGGGCGTCTCGAGACGCTCGATCGCTTGAATGTAAAGCTCCCGGCCGGCTGTGTAATTACAACGGCCGGAGCGGGAAGCTGCTAGTCGGGCTCCGCTGTCCTCTCATCACAGACGAGCGGACTTTAAGCCCTATGTATGTATGTATGTATGTATGTATGTGTGTATATATATATATATATACACACACATACAGGTGAAACTCGAATAATTAGAATATCGTGCAAAGTTCATTTATTTCACTAATGCAACTTAAAAGGTGAAACTAATATATGAGATAGACTCATTACATGCAAAGCAAGATAATTCAAGCCGTGATTTGTCATAATTGTGATGATTATGGCTTACAGCTCATGAAAACCCCAAGAACACCAAATCCACAACCTCAAAAAATTAGAATATTACATGCAATCAATAAAACAAGGATTGTACATAGAACAATATCGGACCTCTGAAAAGTACAAGCATGCATATGTACTCAGTACTTGGTTTGGGCCCCTTTTGCAGCACTTACTGCAATTACTTTTGCACGATATTCTAATTATTCGAGTTTCACCTGTAATTATAATTATATACATACATACATACATACATACTAGTGGCCTATACATATATACATACTAGTGGCCTATACATATATACATACATACATACTAGTGGCCTGTGGGAGCTCTTTCATGCAGTATAACATCTATAAGCTTTTATGAAAGTTTTAGAGGTCAATACGTTATTATGATGTTTATAAAGAGCAAGGCCAGGCCAACACTTTGTAGCTTATATTTTGTTAAAGTGATACTAAAATCAGGAGTTAAACCTTAAAAAATGCATTCAAGTACCTTAACTATAAACAAAAATGTATCTTTTGTGTATCACTCAGCTGTAGACGCTCAAATCATCTCTGAATTTCATGCTGACATTGTCCTTCTGGAGGGTGGCTACTTTTGTTCCCCATGGTCCATTAGTCTGTTGTAAAGCAGTACCGCTCCAATCTCACTCCAGCGATGGGCTACAATCTCAATACAAATTAGTAAACTAAACATAAGATTGTAGCCCATCGCTGGAGTGAGATTGGAGCGGTACTGCTTTACAACAGACTAATGGACCATGGGGAACAAAAGTAGCCACCCTCCAGAAGGACAATGTCAGCATGAAATTCAGAGATGATTTGAGCGTCTACAGCTGAGTGATACACAAAAGATACATTTTTGTTAATAGTTAATGCAATTTTAAGATTTAACTCCTGAGTGTCACTTTAAAGTAAACCTGTGCCTAGGTTAAGTAATATCTGTAAAAAATAAATCAAGGCAACTGGATTTGCTGTATTTTTCTTGAAGACATTTCACTGGTCATCGGACCAGCTTTCTCAATTCTCATTCTCTGAATTGAGAAAGCTGGTCAGATGACCAGTGAAATGTCTTCAAGAAATATACAGCAAGCCCAGTTGCCTTGATTTATTTTTTACAGATATACCATAATCTGGATGAATGAGAACCTTTACAGACATAGGTTAAGTAATACTTCTTACTTCTAAGCATGGATAGGGAATATAATCACTCCATGTTAAAGTGCTGGTGTTTGGTAATTGGCTAAGCGCTGTCACATGGGGCAGGGAGAATGACAGCCCCGTCCGTGTAAGCTCCAATTTCAGATCCAAATTGGGCTCACACAGGGCTAAAAGAGATTTCTTGCTCCCTGCAGCTGGAGTGGTGGGAGAGGGTAAGGAAAGTATATATATATATGCTGCTAGGGAGGGGAGCATTAAATTCAACCTTTTGCTTTGCCATGCATGGACAAAGCACATGTTCATTTTAATCTGAATAAATTCGCTTTTTGGCTTTCCAATTTCTGCCTAGGCGCCCTAGAGAAACTTGAGCCTGGGTCTAACTAGAGCTGGGTTAACATTCCATGATGATCAAGGAGCTATTTGTGCAGATAAGAAAGAAAAGTCATCTGATCTAGACAATCTGCCTGCTCTTAAGGTGCACATACACCTTACGATTATCGTACAATAATCGTATGCGATCGACTTTTTGTACGACAATCGTAACGTGTGAATGTAGTGCCCGACCGATAGTACTGTACAATCGTACGACTTTTGACGGTCAAGCATGTTTGAAAACTTTGGGTCGATCGTACGATGTTCGCATGGTTGGTGGCGTTTCCGTCCGTCAAAAGTCGTACAATTAACACTGCGCATGCGCAAACTAAAATAATTGCGGTCAATTACCGCAAGTCGTCCAGGTGTTTTTTTTTTTTAACTACCGCTGATTGAACCTTGCGATAATCGGGGCAGGATGGGGCCGTCGCGCGAAAATCGTACGACGGTTCGATCATCGGACGAAAATAATCGTAAGGTGTATGGGCACCTTTACTCTGAAGGTCTGGATAAACCTCCAGGCGAAGCATAGAGCCCCTTTAAATATGTGAATGCATCTAGTAAGCATAAAAAAAGAATATAACCAAGGATACTTACTCAATTGTGTGTTTGTCTATTTTTCTAGTGATGTTAATGCCATAGAATTGCTGCATAGCAGCTATAGCGGATTGCATGGTTTCTGCAGAGCGCAATACCGACATTCGGGGGTCTGTTGGTGGAAGGTAGCCGTATTTCTGCAGCCACACCTGTAAACATACAAAACACCAATTCTGATCTTAAGATCCAACTAACATGACAAAATATAAATACAACTTTTGTAAGGATTACTGTAATACAACTTTTGTAAGGCTAATCTTAAGACCCAACTAACATGACAAAATATAAATACAACTTTTGTAAGGGTTAGTGTATGTTGGTGCTTGTTTTATGCTGGAAGAAAAGGTTTGAATTTTGAAATGGACTGTATGCAGCAGTATTAGATCTGTCGTTTTTGCCATATACCACATTGCATACAATGTCCTCTGCTCCTGATCATTTCTCCAACTTTCAAAAAACAATTTTGGAACTTAGTCAATGATGTCTTGTGACAAGTTTGCTTCAGCTCAGGTAGGTGTAACCAGAAGGGCAGAGAGATGATCAGGGAGGGAGTGTTTCATACCAACAGGAGTAGCTTTTGGTATGAAACAAACACATCAGAAGCTCCTCTTCACATGAGGAGCCCACTTCTCACATCAGAAACCCACTTTATTTTACTTTCCCTGACTGAGCAAAATCCTCCTTTTTGTTTCGTACATCCCAGAAACTGAAGCTCACAGTGGGAGGTTTCAGAAACATAGGCAGCACCTTCAATGCAGAAAGCAGTGTGCAAAAGGTTTTGCCAGGTGCTGATTGATAAGCTTTAGGGTTGTGAACCAGCAGTGTAAGGCTGGGCACACACCTTACAATCATCGCAAGACTTTTGTCTTGCGATGGTTGTAAGGTACTTAATAAAACGTACGATCTGCCTATCTTGCATAGGCAGATCGTACTTGCGATGATCGCAAGCCACGCCCCCTGAGGGGCGGCTTCCGATGACCGCAATGCCGAACGGGCAGTGTGCGCTGGCGCACACCGGCCCGTACTGCTTTTATCGTACGGACATGCCACAAACCCGCCGAGCATCGTTCGATGTTCGGCGGGTTTTCGAAACATGCCCGTAAGTTTAAAGTCGTGCGACCTTACAGTAGTAGAGGTCGCACGGCTTCCACACACCTTACGATAATCGTACGATCGCGTGATTTCCCGCGATTATCATACGATTATCGTAAGGTGTGTGGGGACCTTAATGCTCATACCCACACCCCTGCAATATTTCCTATTACTATAGTGCAAGCAGGTACAACCTACATAAGTGTGGTAACTCTGCTCTGAACTTAGGAGCAGTACAGCTTTGTTTCCACAGCATCAATAAAAACAGAATTAGGTAGACTTCACTGGCAGGACCATCCAGTATTTGTACAACATTGCAGGGTGATCCAAAGAAAATTTTAATTGCAGATTCACTTATAATTAAGTGCTGCAGCCTATTTGTTTTTCAGAATGAGAGGCCAAAGTTTTACTTTAAAGGGTAACTTTTATGTTACTATGAAATTGAGGCAATACATATAATTGGAAAGCAAGTATACGTTTTTACCATGCAGCAGAAACAGAGGCATCTGCAAGGGAGTTTGCTAACATAATTGCAGAGTGTGTAACAGATGTGTAGATGCAAAAATATGCACATGTGCAACAACAAAACATGAGTAATTAACATTTCATTACTCAACATTTAAAAAAAAAAAAAGGAGAGAGAGACAAGCACATCAATTGAATATCCCACTACTTCAACACTCTGAAGGTAACAAAGACAGTGAGAAATATTACAAATTTGAAATAATCAATAATAGTAAATAAAACCAAATGTACATATTGACCAAAATATAGAATGAAAGATCCATCTATCACAGCAACAGTGTATTGATTTTACAATGATATCAATGTCAAAATGTGCATTACTGTCTGGTAACAGAAGAGCTTTCCATTTATGGTAACTGTGACTCTGAAATATATGAAATCTGTACAGCATGATGCAACAGTGTAAGAACATACATCTTCATACTGTAGCCATCAGATTTATTCAAATTAAATACATATCCAACATGCTTTAATTACCCTGTAAAGGGGCACAGACAGAAAAGTATGCCTACTATAAAGCAAAGAAACAACTGACTCAAAAGGTGCCCTCTAGTGATGGAATAAGAAAATGTTCTCTCCTTTCCTCCTGGCCACCAATGGTCTGCTGTGAACATTGGAAGAACAGGACAGGGAGGTAATATTATAGTGTTTCCTAATTTCCCTAGATTTGTAGTATTGGATTGTGTCCACTTAAAAAAAAAAAAGATTCATATCATCTGCAGGGATTACAGTACCTTTCTTCAAATGGAGTAACAGAGGCTGTGATACCTCTTCAGAGGCGTTTAAAGACCAACTTAAGCCAAACATTAGCAAATCAACAATCAGTACCAACAACTAAGTAGTATGAAGGTGCATGTAAATAATCCATGCAAATTATGTCCATTCAAGTAGACTTTTACCTTACACAGTTGTCCACAGTGGTGTAACTATAGCCATAGCAGCCCATGTGGAAGGGGGCCCCATTAGGTTGTTGAGACATAGAACATGTAAAGATAATGCAGTACTGTATCATTAAGGGTTGAAGGGGTTGCATTTGATGACAACCTAATCCTCTGCATAGTCTACAGTGTAGGAAAGCTGACAACAGATGCACAGAAGGAGTCTTTGGGATCTTGGTGCCGTTAGTCATAGCTCAGAGAGAGGTCATCAGGGGAACCCCCCCACCCCATTCAATTTTTTCTATGGGGCCCTGTTATCTGTAGTTAGGCCCATGGTTGTCTATAAATCTTATTGACATGACTGATCAAATCTATCAGATATAAACTATAACAATAACCATTGCAGTGGTCCCCCAGCCACTGCTGGTTGGGGGAACACTGTACGTGTTCCAAGCAAAGTTAACAGCCTTGATTGGCATAATAGAAACATTTGGCTGAGTAAAACCTTCCCATTATTGGACAGCAGCCCACCAGAGAAAAGCAATTATTAGAAATCCATTATATAAAATATTATAAAATAATATATAAAATATTAACAAAATAAATAATAAGTTAACCTGAAGAGTATTTTCATAGACACAGTGACCAGTGGCAAAATCAATGATTGACTTCACATCTAAGTGTCTGTGTTATTTTCCTTTCCATTTGCTTTGGGCAGTTGCTTTGTTAAATGTTCCCATCAACAGGTCCTTTAATAGATATGAACCTCTTTGGTCAACGCACACCAAAGATGTGAACCAGCACATTTAAAAACAATGGCAAACCTGTGCACATGCTTTAAAATTCACAGGCGTGCCCCAAGGAAAAAGGGGAACAATGACGCTAGTGAAAAAAACTTAGAAAACATATACTGCATTTTAAAAAATGGATCTACACTTCCAGTTTAGCCTTCTCTTTCATTTTCTAGCTTAGGAAAGCATGTATTGCAACTGTGGTTACCAATATAGTAAAGTTGCTACCTCTGTTTCAAAGATAAACTTTTATGAATATCTTGACAGGTTTGGTTACCTAATATATTATAGAAATATCACTGGCTTTTTGAGCAACACCATGTAAAGGGCAATATTTCTCCATTGCTTACTGGCTGCTTGCCTGTAACTATTATAAATGATTCTAGTAATTTAGCCTCCAATTCATGGTCCAGGAAAAAAAAAAAAAATGTCTCGAACAATACTTCATCATCTGCTATAAATCTTATTTAGCACTTGCTTTCCTCTGCTACACTGACCCAACAACAATTTTATGATCAGAGGCTCTGTAGAGCATGTATTTCTTAACGTGTATTTATTAGACTTGTTTAATTGATCACTTCAAAGTGTAGGCATTAGAAATTAAACATTTAGAGTTTTACAAACAGGAACAGATGCCTTAGTGAAAGTAAGTTTTAATTTGCATAGACTGTATAATAATTTATTTACTACTTGCATCAATGGCCCAATCACTGATGGATGTCACCGCTGAATACATCAGTTTACTTGTTCCATTTCTCAATAATAAGCAAATTAGGAGACAATTTGTTGGATGTTACTGCATGTTTCTACAACCTCTACAATCCCACATAGCAGTTTTCATTTACTTATACAGAGAGGTGTAATACCAACCTAGTCATAAATGAGCAGGTATGAAAAAATATTTTTTTTTTGCGCTAATGACTACAGAACAGAAAGAGTTCCAAATTCCTTATAAATAGTGGTAGCAATCAGACACCTCCAGGTCTTGCTGCCAATATGCATGCGGGGAACATAAGTAACTAGAATGGTAAGATCGCACTGACTTGGTTTAAAATCCACGGTAAATGTATTCTCAAATGATAAAAAAGGTACAGGTGAAACTCGAATAATTAGAATATCGTGCAAAGTTCATTTATTTCACTAATGCAACTTAAAAGGTGAAACTAATATATGAGATAGACTCATTACATGATCGAACAATACTTCATCATCTGCTATAAATCTTATTTAGCACTTGCTTTCCTCTGCTACACTGACCCAACAACAATTTTATGATCAGAGGCTCTGTAGAGCATGTATTTCTTAACGTGTATTTATTAGACTTGTTTAATTGATCACTTCAAAGTGTAGGCATTAGAAATTAAACATTTAGAGTTTTACAAACAGGAACAGATGCCTTAGTGAAAGTAAGTTTTAATTTGCATAGACTGTATAATAATTTATTTACTACTTGCATCAATGGCCCAATCACTGATGGATGTCACCGCTGAATACATCAGTTTACTTGTTCCATTTCTCAATAATAAGCAAATTAGGAGACAATTTGTTGGATGTTACTGCATGTTTCTACAACCTCTACAATCCCACATAGCAGTTTTCATTTACTTATACAGAGAGGTGTAATACCAACCTAGTCATAAATGAGCAGGTATGAAAAAATATATTTTTTTTGCGCTAATGACTACAGAACAGAAAGAGTTCCAAATTCCTTATAAATAGTGGTAGCAATCAGACACCTCCAGGTCTTGCTGCCAATATGCATGCGGGGAACATAAGTAACTAGAATGGTAAGATCGCACTGACTTGGTTTAAAATCCACGGTAAATGTATTCTCAAATGATAAAAAAGGTACAGGTGAAACTC